GAAGACCTGAAGCTTCGTGCGGAGCGACAGACCAGGTAGCTTCCACACAGCGTTACGCAACCGATGAAAAGATATTGCCGCTCGACTGATTCGGAGTGAGACCTCTGCTGATAAACTGGAGCCGGTCATAAGCACGCTGCCCAGGTATGGGAAACTCTCCACTCTCTCCACAACTGCCCCATCACCAATTGGGAGTTGTGGGGGTGGAGTGTCCGATGGTACAAAATACCCAGGCAGATGTTTCGTTTTGGTGGGGCTGATGGTAAGGCCCCACCTCTTAGTGGCACGCTCCAGTCTCAGCAGCAGCGTCTCCAACTCCTCTTCTGAATGAGCAGCTATTACCAAATCATCGGCATACATAACATGGTTGACCAATAGGGAGCCATCCCTTGATCGCACCCGGGCGTCGATCAGCCTCCCATTATATCTGTACCAAATGGAAATTCCCCCGGTACAGCTATGGAAGGCTTCACGAACTACGCGGTCAAAATAGATGTTAAATAATGTGGGAGCCAGAGGACATCCCTGTCGCACCCCAAGGTGTACAGGGAAAGGCTCCGACTCCCGGCCACGTAGTTTTACCCGGGCCCGCTCACCATCATGAAGGTCCTTAATGATCGTGAGCAGAGGGTCAGGGACTCCGAAAGCACGAAGAACAACCCAGAGCCCAGTCCTACTGATGGTATCATAGGCCTTGACCAGGTCAATAAAGCAGAGATGTAGGTCTTGTTGGAATTCCCTACACCTCTGCTGTAGCAGACGGACAGAAAATATGGCATCTGTGCAGGACCGCCCTTTCCTGAAACCGCATTGGGGCTCCGCAAGCCTCTCCTCAGCGTGCCTAGCAAGTAATCCTTGCCAGGACCTTACCCGGCACACTGAGGACCTCTGACACACGGTCTGTCTTTCAGTCACTCACAGAGACAGGCAGCTAATTAGATACTCCACCAACCCTGTGCTCGGCTATCCCACGAGGAGATTTGTCGCCCCGCCTGACTCTGACGAAACCTCTTGTCTGGGCCCTCGCAGTTTTACGCCAAAGCCAAGGACTGGTGGCTGTTCGGCTTCTACTTCTGCATGCCGCTGGCCTGCGCGGCGGTCTTCTACACGCTCACGACCGTCGAGATGCTCGGGATGAAGAAGCGAAACCTTGGCAGCGCCATCGACGAGCACCTCAAGCAGGTGTCGAACCTCGGGACCTCCCTCCGGTACCGCCGGCCCCATCGGCTAGAGGCCGAACGGCTCCCCGTGGTTGTGCGGTTACGTAACCGATTTGCGGTGGCGGGCAGGAGGGGAGGGAGGGGTCCGTGACGTTCGCTCTCCGACTTTGTCACCGAACGATTCGTGAAACTGCGAGATGTTGATTCGACGGATGTTTGCGTGTGTTTGCGTGTGTATGTGCGTGTGTGTGTACGTGTGTGTGTGCGTGTGTGTGTGCGTGTGTATGTGCGTGTGTGTGTACGTGTGTGTGTGCGTGTGTGTGTGTGCGTACGTGTGTGTGTGCGTGTGTGTGTACGTGTGTGTGCGTGCGTGTGTGTGTGTGCGTGTGTGTGTACGTGTGTGTGGTGCGTGTGTGTGTGTGCGTACGTGTGTGTGTGCGTGGTGTGTGTGTGTACGTGCGTGTGTGCGTGCGTGTGTGTGTGTGTGCGTGTGTGTGTGCGTGTGTGTGTGCGTCGCGTGTGTGCGTGCGTGTGTGTACACACAGCAACGGGAGGCAGGCACGGCGGTGTTCTGCCTGGCGGTGGTGTTTGCGCTGTGCTGGCTGCCGCTGCATCTCAGCCGCATCCTCAAGAGAACCGTCTACGACGAGATGTGACCCCAACCGCTGCGAGCTGCTCAGGTGGGGGGGGCACCCCGAACCGTCCCCCCCCTCCCTCTCTCCCTCTCTACTCGTGCCCTCCTCGTCCCATGGGAGAATGAAGAGTCAATTGTATCGTCTTCGCGTGAATCAGAGGTCGCAAACGGGTTTTGATTCCTTACCCGTAACCGTACCCGGACCGCACCAGGGTCGCAAACGGGTACCCGTACCCGTACCCGACCCGTACCCTACACCCGTACCCGTACCCTACCCAGACCCTAACCCGTACCCAGACCCTACCCGTACCCTAACCCGTACCTTACCTGTACCCTAACCGTACCCTACCCGTACGTGAAACTGCGAGATGTTATTCGACGGATGTTTGCGTGTGTTTTGCGTGTGTATGTCGGTGTGTGTGTACGTGTGTGTGTGCGTGTGTCGCAATCGGGTACCCGATTGCGACCTCTGGGATGAAGCCACGTTGCAGGCGCGGGTGGGTTGATTCTAGGAACTTGAATTATGAGAGAGACAAGTCGTTGGGAAATGAGTGACACACGGTGACTCACCAGTGACTCACGGTCTACCCGTACCCGTACCCGGCCGCACCAGGGTCGCAAACGGGTACCCGTACCCGGCGGGTACGGGGTAGCCGGGTATCGGGTAGGGTACGGGTATCGGGTACCCGGTTGCGACCTCTGGCGTGAATATCGCAGCAGCAGCAGCAGTGATAATACCAATCGCAACCACCACGCCCTGCGCGTGGAACTTCTTTGGCACCGTACTAGCCGAGCGCACTCACCGCAGGTGCGGGGGGAAGGACGACGAACTGACGCGAAGTGTTCTTTGCGAAGAGGCGTCGTTCTCAATCTACTTTGCAAACGACGCCCTTGGCAATAGAATACACTCAGCGAGTGTCAGAGTGGGGTTTGTTTTAGGAGCGTCCTGCTCTGTCATGTTTCACCAATGCCAATGCCCCCCACCCCCCCCCACTCCATCCAGCCCCGCGTTTCCTCCAGGGCGTTGTTGTGAACGTCCGACGCACCCGCTACACACCCCCCCCCCCCCCCCCGGTGGCTTGCTTCTCACACGGCCCCCTTACGCTAACAACGGCACGTGGCCGGTGAACGAGCGCAGCTGGATCGCGTCACGGATCGTGTCACGGATCGTGTCACGGATCGTGTCATGCGAGCGGCGTGGGTAAACGAGGGGGGGTGGATGGGACCCCCCACAAAACATCGCAGCTCAACAGCGTGGGGAGGCGGGGGGGGGGCGTCTCGCCGGACCGAGGACACTTTGCACTCATTAGCGTAGTTTGCTGTTGCGACGTTCTGTCGCGCCCCTACGGGACAGCTGCGGGGAGAGAGCTTCGTAGCTCATCGGATTCCTCCTCCAAGTCCAAATCAATATTGAGATTCTGATCCGATCGCGATCACCGCTTCACCGGCGTGTCGTTGTCACGCCGCTCGGAGCGTGGCTGTGTTCGTCACGGTTGGTCTACGGGTGCATTCTGTGCGTGGCCCCGATGCAATGTGAAGGTCTCCTGGCTCCTGATTCACAACGGGTGTGTCCTCTGCCGCCATCACCACCACCGCCCCCCTGCAGCTTCCTGCTCGTGCTGAACTACATCGGCATGAACCTGGCGACCCTCAACTCGTGCGTCAACCCCGTCGCCCTCTACGTCGTCAGCGCAAAGTTCAGGAACCGCTTCAAGGTGCGTTTGGTGGGCGTCGGCCACGTTTCTGTCGTCACGTTTAGATCATGGGGGGGGGTGCTTCTCATCGCCGGCGCTCGGGAAACCACGACAACAACAACAACATCAACAACAACAACAATCACCGCTGGTGCACAGGTCTGACGATCGCGTCGCACGTTCGCGTGACGAATTCCAACTGATACGGGTCTCGTGAATTGATGCGTATCTACTACGTGTTTTGTATGCAAGTATGTATGTTTGCATGTGTGTACGTGAGTGGGTTGTGTTAAGGGGAGCGGTGGTGTAGCGGTTAGTGTTAACCAGAGGTGCGGGGTAAGGACAACAAACTAAGCACAAAAAGCAGTTCTAAGAAATGAGTTTGTCAACGTGGATAATTTAAAAGTGCGTAGCTCCAGTGGCTTCCTATTATCGGAAGAGCGTTGCAGACGGCCGCAGAAGCGCGTCTGAAAGCGCCGCGCGATGCGGTGATCCCCACCGCCGCCTGTGTTCGATGGCGAGCAGTCAGAAGCCAACCGCTGCCGCTGCTGCTGCTGCTGCCGCCGCTGCTGCTGCTGCTGCTGTGAGGATGATGAGCGGAGTTGGCGCGATGGGTTGACGCTCACTTGACGAGATCGGCGAAGGTGTCGCGGTTCATGTGTGGCGAGCGCTTTGCGTGCGGCGAGAGCGAATTTGACGTCGCTCGTCGCAGTGCCGACCCTCCTCGCTCCAACTCTCTCTCCTCCTCCTCCTCCTCGTCGTCGCCGCCGTGCACAGTCCTGCCTGTGCTGCTGCTGGGCGACAAGCAGACGGCGCTCCAGCAGAAGGCCGTGGCGGCGCCGGGCAGCCCGCTCGGCCGCAGCAACTCCCGCTCCAGCAACAGGTTCATCGTCACTTGAGCTGAGCTGGCCCCCCCCCCCCCCCCGCGGGATGTGGATGGAGGGGAGGTGGGAGAAGAGTTGCCGGGGGGGGGTGGGGCAACGGGGGCCGAAGTGAACTAGACAGCCGTGGCCACGTGGGCCAGGCGACCGGCTTGGCTGGAGGACGGTGAAAGCAAACGACGCGAGCGGCTTAGCGAGGCAATCGCGGTCGGTCGCGTGACGTGCGCTTGCACGGCTTGGTGCGACAGACAGCCAGAGAGAGGGAGCAGAGATGATGGGGGGGAGGTGTTTAAGCACTCGCTCGAGCGGAACGAGCGCGTGCCGCCATCTCGCCCAGCTGGGCTGCTTCTCCACGGCCTGGGGGGTCCCCCCTCGCTCGCTCACCCCCCTCCCTGTCTCCACCCCCCACCCCCCACCCCCCACCCGGGTCTCTCTTGCTTAGACGTCGACGTCGCAGCAACACGGCAGGGGGAGCGCTCGCTCGCCAACTGTTGATGCGACTTCATTTTATTTGTTGGCCTCCTTGATGCTTTCACTTGTCCAACTTTGGCTGTCCCTTGGCACGATCAAGCGCAGCGTACGGACGTTAACAGGATGTCGCTGGCTGGGTTCTGGCCGGCGCCGGTCTCTTTTGCAAAGTAGTCGAAAGAGCCGAAGAACCGGGGTAATGTTGCAGTGGTGGGACTTTACTTCCGTTAGCTACGTACATACAGTTGCAATCATACGTGTGTGTCACGTTTTTGTCATATAGCATCAATGGGCAGAGTTGCTTTCAAGAGGCACACAAAAAATATTGTACGTTCAAATAAACAACGTCTACGCAACATGTCTGTGAATACATGTAAATAGACATTTACTGATGGATGCGCCTGTGTGTGTGTGTTCAAACATGCCGCACACGTACACGTGAAGCAACAGCGGTGTTTTTAAATCCTTTATATTAAGTTCGCGTGCTTGCGTGCTTGCTTGCTTGCTTACGACCGTGCAAACCTTTCGGTCGTTTTTTAACCCACTTCCCGTGATCCAATCGAGCTGACATTTTGCACACAGACTCGTTGTGCGTGACAATTAATGTTCGTGAAATTTTTTTTCCAAAATTTTACACTGTTTAGGGAAAACAAATTAAATATTTAATTACCAATTGCTTAATACTGGCAGACAATCAGCTGACCCATAGGTGGCAGCCATCTCAAGCCAGAGGACGAGAGGACTCTAGCCGCCACGCATATAAAGGATTTATAGTGAAAACCTTTTTTAGGGTTAATTTTTTTAATATCGAGGTGTCGAGAGAGGGCCACACATGTGAAGGCTTACGCAGCGAGAAAGAGCGAAAGCATCGGGGTTAAGAAGAGAAGAGTGACAGAGTTAGAGAGATCGTGCAGGGGAGGAAGGGAAAACGACGTAGAACAAGAGACGGAAGAAGACAGAACAAAAGAGCTCATTCTCATGAGAGCAGATGAACAGATTATCTTAATAAGTATAACCCGTAAAAACAAAGTTTTTCACTCTAAATCCTTTATATGCGTGGCGGCTCGAGTCCTCTCGTCCTCTGGCTTGAGATGGCTGCCACCTATGGGTCAGAGATGATTGTCTGCCACCATTAAGCAATTGGTAATTAAATATTTAAAAGAAATTGCCTAAACAGTGTAAAAATGTAAAAAAAAAATTCACGAAAATTGTCACGCACAACGAGTCTGTGTGCAAAATGTCAGCTCTATTGGATCACGGGAAGTGTGTTAAAAAACGACCGAAAGAGTTGCACGGTCGTAAGCAAGCAAGCAAGCGAACTTAATATAAAGGATTTAAAAAAGAGCTTATTCTCATGAGAGCAGATGAACAGATTATCTTAATAAGAAAGCAGTGGTTGTGTGTGTGCTGTGCGTGGTGGTGGTGGTGGGTGGTGGTTCCCCAGCTGTCCGCGTGAAAGCGAGAGAGATGAGGAGGGAGAGGGAGGGAGATGGGGCCACGGGACAGACAGACGGGCAGGTGGGGAAGCTTTCCGAGGGTCGATAAGTCACGTGACCTGACGGCTGGACGGGCTGTCACGTGACCCTCAAGCAAGAAACTCAGGTTCAGGCCTGTCCCTAATGTACACTTGCAATTACAAACATCAACACACAACAACAACAACAGTCATTCGCCACTAAGTGGCGGAGACGTCACCACGACGCTTGTGCCAGGCCAAGTGCACCTTGAGGCCACGTGAAGTGTCGAACGCCCGCTGGCAGGAGGTCACGGGGCAGACCCAGCAGGTGCCACGGGTCGACTGACTGAGACGAGTGGCTGATGCACCATCTGTGCCCCCTACTGTGCCAACTTGCTGTGCTTTAGCCACCCGGCGCTCCGCTCGTTGTGAGCGTCGCTCCTCCGCCCTCCGTTGTTGTTGGAGGGCGACTGCCTCCAACTGCCCAGTAGCGTCCTTCACGAGCCTCCTCCACTGAGGCCGATCTTGACACCGCTGGTACCAGTCATCGGCAAGTCCACTCAGCTCCACGTCCTCCTGTACCACATCACTCCATCTCTTCTCTAGCCCATGCCGCGCCCGTCTAGCCCCCTCGATCCGGCCGAACAAAAGCTGTTTAGGCATGCGGTGGCTGGGCATGCGGGCTACATGACCCAGCCAACGCAGCCTTGCCTGCCGGAGGAGCTCACTGATGGGACTTTGCCCAGATCTTTCAAGGACTTGTGAGCTCCTCACACAATCCAGCCTGGTTAAACCCAGGATGGATCGTAGGCAGGCCAGCCTAAATGTTTCCAACCGGCGAAGATGCTCCACTAGGGGGGTCCACGTTTCGCAAGCGTAGAGAAGGGAGGGAATGACCGTGGCTGAGAAGACCTGAAGCTTCGTGCGGAGCGACAGACCAGGTAGCTTCCACACAGCGTTACGCAACCGATGAAAAGATATTGCCGCTCGACTGATTCGGAGTGAGACCTCTGCTGATAAACTGGAGCCGGTCATAAGCACGCTGCCCAGGTATGGGAAACTCTCCACTCTCTCCACAACTGCCCCATCACCAATTGGGAGTTGTGGGGGTGGAGTGTCCGATGGTACAAAATACCCAGGCAGATGTTTCGTTTTGGTGGGGCTGATGGTAAGGCCCCACCTCTTAGTGGCACGCTCCAGTCTCAGCAGCAGCGTCTCCAACTCCTCTTCTGAATGAGCAGCTATTACCAAATCATCGGCATACATAACATGGTTGACCAATAGGGAGCCATCCCTTGATCGCACCCGGGCGTCGATCAGCCTCCCATTATATCTGTACCAAATGGAAATTCCCCCGGTACAGCTATGGAAGGCTTCACGAACTACGCGGTCAAAATAGATGTTAAATAATGTGGGAGCCAGAGGACATCCCTGTCGCACCCCAAGGTGTACAGGGAAAGGCTCCGACTCCCGGCCACGTAGTTTTACCCGGGCCCGCTCACCATCATGAAGGTCCTTAATGATCGTGAGCAGAGGGTCAGGGACTCCGAAAGCACGAAGAACAACCCAGAGCCCAGTCCTACTGATGGTATCATAGGCCTTGACCAGGTCAATAAAGCAGAGATGTAGGTCTTGTTGGAATTCCCTACACCTCTGCTGTAGCAGACGGACAGAAAATATGGCATCTGTGCAGGACCGCCCTTTCCTGAAACCGCATTGGGGCTCCGCAAGCCTCTCCTCAGCGTGCCTAGCAAGTAATCCTTGCCAGGACCTTACCCGGCACACTGAGGAGTGAGATGCCCCTGTAGTTGTTACAGTCGGTACGGTCCCCCTTCTTAAAGAGGGGGACCACCAGGGCATCCTTCCAGTCCTGCGGAACCCGTCCAGTGGTCCAGACTGTTGTTATGATGTCATATAGGGCAGTCTGTGCACAAACGCCACCCTCCCTCAGCATTTCGCTTGGGAGATCATCTCTGCCCGATGCCTTCCCTGGTCTCAGACTCCGGATCGCCCTCAGTACTTCCTCAACAGCTGGCACCTCAGCCAGCCACTCACAGGGGGTGACCTCTTCCAATATTTGAGGCACCGCAGCCTCAGCAGGGTTATCACCACTTTGTGCCATGATGTTTTCCTGGCTGAGAGAATTTCCCTCCCCCAGGACCTCACAGAAATGCTCAGCAAATCTGCAAACCTGTTCCTGGGGGTCGGAGATTGGATCACCGTTTTTTCCTCTAATGATGGTAATAGGTGTGGCGCTGCAGGTTACTTTTTTGATGGAGTTAAATAGTGATTTGTGATCACGGGCCACTGAGGCAGACTCCATCTCCTCAGCAACCCGCGACCACCACCCATCCTTACAGCGCCTTACGGCTCTCCGAACTTCCGAGCGAAGGCTGCGGTAAACCTCCTCATTCTCTGACGTGGGATGCTATAGGCGATGAGAGTGGGCCTGACGCTTTTTCCCAATTAACCTGAACACCTCCTCTGTCAGCCAGGGTTTCTGGGGAGGTCTGGACCGCGTACCCAAAGCAGCCATTGCAGCTGCATGAGTCACAGTCTTAAACCTCGCCCATTTCCCCTCGACATCAGGTGGAGTGGGGGACGATGCCAACCCCAGCTGCAAGCGATGATGAAATTCTCGCTTGCAACTTTCATCAGCTAACTGAGACCAGGCCACTTTTGGTTGGAATGGGATCCTGGGTGTACACCCACCACCGGAGTGGAAGAAAGGCAGGCGCATCTTACAGATGACTAGTCGATGGTCAGAGGACAGATCAGCTCCACGGTAGGTCCTGGTGTCAAGGACATGGGTTCGCATCCGCTGGTCCGTCACTATGTAGTCCAGCAGATGTTCTTGCTTGGACCCGGCATGTATCCATGATGTTGTGTGGATGCGCCGATGCCGGAAGAGCGTGTTGGTAATTACAAGCCCATGGGCTGCACAAAAATCTAGCAGCCTCCTACCGTTATTATTGAGCTGATCTGGCCCATGCCTTCCAATCACTCCAGACCAGGTACCAGCATCATGACCAACTCGGGCATTGAAGTCACCCAACAAGATGACTCTGTCCCGAGTGGCCACTTTAGCAAGCACCTGTGACAGGAGGTCATAGAAAGAGTCTGACTCATCGGCTTTGCCTGCATCCCTCCACGGATGTTCGTCTTCGGTGGGGGCATAAGTAACCACGACCACCACTCCTCGCCTCTGGTTGATGGGAAGGCGAGCCCAAAGTATCCTGGGACTTACAGCTTCCCACACCTCACCGCCACGCTCCCACGCCCCCTTCATTCTTTTGTTCAGAAGAAGAGCCACACCCTGTTGTTTGGCAGTCTCCTGCCCCGAGTAGAGGACTGTCCACCCCTCATGGTGGCAGGAGCCAGAACCGGTCCACCGGACCTCCTGAATGCCACAGAGATCCAGGCGGTACCGGTCCAGCTCCCGACAGAGGAGTGGCAGCCTCTCCTCCGCAGTGAGCGTTCGAACATTCCACGTGGCCATCCGCAATGGTTTTTTGTTGTTTCTGGAGGAGCCCCGAGGATGAAAATTCAATCTCCTGGCTCCGCCAAATGGGGTTTGGCCAGGAGACGTCATAAAAGCCTGACCCCCCCGGGGCCTCCGGCACAAGCTTATTTGTTACAGGTTTATGTTTAATTCGTGGTTTAGTGGTGGTTAATTGAAGGTGGAGGGGTTACCAGCCCCTCACACCCGTCCAGAGCCCCCGTTTAGCCACTGTGGTGGTCACAGACGCCATGAGGGGAGAGGCCAATGGGCATTGGACTTCCCCCCACAGCACTGCCCACGACAGTGTTGCCCGTCCGGCACCGCGAGGAGGTAGGAGGTTGTTTTGCCGGACCTTACACACACACACATGGACACACACCCACGATAGTCTATTTCCATGTTATCTCAACGTAAATCGATTCCAATAGCTTAATCAACTATAAATCGATTCCCATGTTATCCCAATAGAAATCGACTCTATAAATCCACTACAAGAATCGATTCCTAATGTTATCCCATTAAGAATCGACGCAAGTGGAGTTAATCGAACCGGGAATCGAATTTCTCTGCACCACGTGACTTGAGAAACTGAAACACGTGGGTCCCAGGTGGGTGTCATGGCGGTGCGAGAACTCTTCTCGAGACTTGGCCTACTCTTCCTCTCCCTCCTCGTCACGTGCACACGCGGTGAGCACAGCCAGAGGTGGTCGATACATCGGGTACCAGGTTGTGGTGGACGTGGGGAGCGGTGGTGCAGTGGTTAGCGCACTGTGTGTGTGTGTGGGGAGTGGTGGCACAGTGGTTAGCGCACTGTGTGTGTGGGGGGAGCGGTGGTGCAGTGGTTAGCGCACTGTGTGTGTGTGTGTGTGGGGAGTGGTGGTACAGTGGTTAGCGCACTGTGTGTGTGGGGGTGGGAGTGGTGGTGCAGTGGTTAGCGCACTGTGTGTGTGTGTGGGGAGCGGTGGTGCAGTGGTTAGCGCACTGTGTGTGTGTGTGGGGAGTAGTGGTACAGTGGTTAGCGCAGTGTGTGTGTGTGGGGAGCGGTGGTGCAGTGGTTAGCGCAGTGTGTGTGTGAGTGGGGAGTGGTGGTGCAGTGGTTAGCGCACTTTGTGTGGGGAGTGGTGGTGCAGTGGTTAGCGCACTGTGTGTGTGAGTGGGGAGTGGTGGTGCAGTGGTTAGCGCACTTTGTGTGGGGAGTGGTGGTGCAGTGGTTAGCGCACTGTGTGTGTGTGGGGAGCGGTGGGGCAGTGGTTAGCACACTGTGTGTGTGGGGGGGGAGCGGTGGTGCAGTGGTTAGTGCACTGTGTGTGTGTGTGGGGAGCGGTGGTGCAGTGGTTAGCGCACTTTGTGTGTGTGGAGCGGTGGTGCAGTGGTTAGTGCACTTTGTGTGTGTGTGGGGAGTGGTGGTGCAGTGGTTAGCGCACTGTGTTTGTGAGTGGGGAGTGGTGGTGCAGTGGTTAGCGCACTTTGTGTGGGGAGTGGTGGTGCAGTGGTTAGCGCACTTTGTGTGTGTGTGGGGAGTGGTGGTGCAGTGGTTAGCGCAGTGTGGGGAGCGGTGGTGCAGTGGTTAGCACAGTGTGTGGGGAGCGGTGGTGCAGTGGTTAGCACACTGTGTGTGTGTGTGTGTGGGGAGCGGTGGTGCAGTGGTTAGCGCACTGTGTGTGTGTGTGGGGAGCGGTGGTGCAGTGGTTAGCGCACTGTGTGTGTGTGAGTGGGGAGCGGTGGTGCAGTGGTTAGCGCACTGTGTGTGTGTGTGGAGTGGTGGTGCAGTGGTTAGCGCACTGTGTGTGTGTGTGTGGGGGGAGCGGTGGTGCAGTGGTTAGCGCACTGTGTGGGGGTGGGAGTGGTGGTGCAGTGGTTAGCGCACTGTGTGTGTGTGAGTGGGGAGCGGTGGTGCAGTGGTTAGCGCACTGTGTGTGTGTGTGGAGTGGTGGTGCAGTGGTTAGCGCACTGTGTGTGTGTGTGGGGAGCGGTGGTGCAGTGGTTAGCGCACTGTGTGTGTGTGGGGAGCGGTGGTGCAGTGGTTAGTGCACTGTGTGTGTGAGTGGTGGTGCAGTGGTTAGCGCACTGTGTGTGTGTTGGGAGCAGTGGTGCAGTGGTTAGTGCTCTGTATGTGTGTGTGTGGGGAGCGGTGGTGCAGTGGTTAGCGCACTGTATGTGTGTGTGTGGGGAGTGGTGGTGCAGTGGTTAGCGCACTGTGTGTGTGAGTGGTGGTGCAGTGGTTAGCGCACTGTGTGTGTGTTGGGAGCGGTGGTGCAGTGGTTAGCGCACTGTATGTGTGTGTGTGGGGAGCGGTGGTGCAGTGGTTAGCACACTGTATGTGTGTGTGTGGGGAGTGGTGGTGCAGTGGTTAGCGCACTGTGTGTGGGGAGTGGTGGGGCAGTGGTTAGCGCAGTGTGGGGAGCGGTGGTGCAGTGGTTAGCGCACACCGAGTGCCGTTTTCCCATCTCCCCAGCTGCGACTCCCCCTCTGAATGTCCGCGTGGAGTCTCGCGACCTGCTGACGCAACTCCGCTGGGACCACGACGCTGAAGTGGACGTCGCCACCAGCAGCAGCTCAAAGCTCCTGGACGTTACCTACAGGGTGGACAGCAAACTGTGAGATGCTCGCTCACTCATCCACTCGCTCACTCACTCACTCACCCACTCGCTCACCCACTCACCCACTCGCTCACCCATCCACTCACTCATCCACTCGCTCAACCACTCACTCAACCACCCATCCACTCACCCACCCACCCACTCACCCACCCACTCACTCACCCACCCACTCACTCACTCACCCACCCACTCACTCACCCACCCACCCACTCACCCACCCACCCACCCACTCACTCACTCACCCACCCACCCACCCACTCACCCACCCACCCACCCACTCACTCACTCACCCACCCACCCACTCACCCACCCACCCACTCACCCACCCACCCACCCACTCACCCACCCACCCACTCACTCACTCACTCACCCACCCACCCACCCACTCACCCACTCACCCACCCACTCCTCACCACCACCTCCTCCTCCCCGTGTCTCTGTCTGTGCAGCTATGCACGAGCCCACTGGCGGACCGTCTGCGCTGCCACCACAGAGACACGGTGCGATGTCTCCTCAGCGCTGCGACATCCTGGCGACCGCTATCAACTTCGCGTCAGATCCACCGTCTCATCACCACCACCAACACCACCATCACCACCATCACCACCATCATCACCACCACCATCACCACCATCATCGTCACCCTGGGTCGTGGTTGAGGTGTTACCCTTGAAGACAAGTGAGTGGCATTGTCTATGTCTCTGTGTGTGTCTCTGTGTCTGTGTGTGAGTGTCTCACTCTCTGTGTCTCTGTGTGAGTTTCTCTGTGTGAGTGTCTCTGTGTGTGAGTGTCTCTGTGTGTGAGTGTCTCTGTGTGTGTCTCTGTGTCTGTGTGTGAGTGTCTCACTCTCTGTGTCTCTGTGTGAGTTTCTCTGTGTGAGTGTCTCTGTGTGTGAGTGTCTCTGTGTGTGAGTGTCTCTGTGTGTGTCTCTGTGTCTGTGTGTGAGTATCTCACTCTCTGTGTCTCTGTGTGAGTTTCTGTGTGAGTGTCTCTGTGTGTGAGTGTCTCTGTGTGTGAGTGTCTCTGTGTGTGTCTCTGTGTCTGTGTGTGAGTGTCTCACTCTCTGTGTCTCTGTGTGAGTTTCTCTGTGTGAGTGTCTCTGTGTGTGAGTGTCTCTGTGTGTGAGTGTCTCTGTGTGTGTCTCTGTGTCTGTGTGTGAGTGTCTCACTCTCTGTGTCTCTGTGTGAGTTTCTCTGTGTGAGTGTCTCTGTGTGTGAGTGTCTCTGTGTGTGAGTGTCTCTGTGTGTGTCTCTGTGTCTGTGTGTGAGTGTCTCACTCTCTGTGTCTCTGTGTGAGTTTATCTGTGTGAGTGTCTCTGTGTGTGAGTGTCTCTGTGTGTGAGTGTCTCTGTGTGTGTCTCTGTGTCTGTGTGTGAGTGTCTCACTCTCTGTGTCTCTGTGTGAGTTTCTCTGTGTGAGTGTCTCTGTGTGTGAGTGTCTCTGTGTGCGTGTGTGTCTCTGTGTGTGTGTCTGTGTGTGTGTCTCTGTGTGTGTGTGTCTGTGTGTGAGTGTCTCTGTGTGTCTCTGTCTGTGTGTGTCTCTGTGTGTGTCTCTGTGTGTGTGTCTCTGTGTGTGAGTGTCTCTTTGTGTGAGTGTCTCTGTGTGTGTCTGTGTGTGTGTCTGTGTGAGTGTGTCTCTCTGTGTGTGTGTCTGTGTGTGAGTGTCTCTCTGTGTGTGTGTCTGTGTGTGAGTGTCTCTTTGTGTGTGTGTCTGTGTGTGTGTCTCTGTGTGTGAGTGTCTCTTTGTGTGAGTGTCTTTGTGTGTCTGTGTGTGTGTGTCTGTGTGAGTGTGTCTCTCTGTGTGTGAGTGTCTCTTTGTGTGAGTGTCTCTGTGTGTGTGTCCCTGTGTGTGTCTGTGTGTGTGTCTCTGTGTATGTGTATGTGTGTGTTTGTGTGTGTGTCTGTGTGAGTGTCTCTGTGTGTGTCTCTGTGTGTCTCTGTGTGTGAGTGTCTGTGTGTGTGTGTGTCTGTGTGTGTGTCTCTGTGTGTGTGTGTCTGTGTGTGAGTGTCTCTGTGTGTGTGTCTGTGTGTGAGTGTCTCTGTGTGTGTGTGTGTCTGTGTGTGTGTCTGTGTCTGTGTGTGTCTGTGTGTGTGTCTGTGTGTGTGTCTGTGTGTCTGTGTGTGTCTCAGCCGTGCTGAGTGCTCCGACTGTCACCTTGATGCTCCACAAGGATGCGACGCTGGAGGAGGGTGGTGAGGAGGGTGGTGAGGAGGGTGGTGAGGAGGGTGGTGAGGAGGGTGGTGAGGAGGGTGGTGACGAGGGTGGTGACGAGGGTGGTGACGAGGAGGAGGAGTGTGGTAGTGAGCGTGAGGACTACAAACATGACGACAAAGATGGCTACGAGAATGACGACGACGATGACGGTGATGGCGGCGATGACGGTGATGGCGGTGGCGACGAGGGAGAGCGGTGGGAGCTGTCCGTGCGGGTCTCCATGAGGAGCGAGTGGAGGAGGAGGATGGCGCAGAGTGACGTGCTGTACCATCTACAAGCCGAGGTCTCCACAAGGAGGGGTGTGACTAGCACGGTGAGAGTGGGTGGGTGGGTGGGTGTGTGGGTGAGTGGGTGGGTGAGTGGGTGTGTGGGTGGGTGGGTGGGTGAGTGGGTGGGTGGGTGGGTGAGTGGGTGGGTGGGTGAGTGGGTGGGTGAGTGGGTGGGTGAGTGGGTGGGTGAGTGGGTGTGTGGGTGGGTGAGTGAGTGTGTGAGTGGGTGTGTGTGTGAGTGGGTGGGTGGGTGGGTGGGTGAGTGGGTGGGTGAGTGGGTGTGTGGGTGGGTGAGTGGGTGAGTGGGTGTGTGGGTGGGTGAGTGGGTGGGTGGGTGTGTGTGTGTGTGAGTGGGTGGGTGGGTGGGTGGGTGAGTGGGTGGGTGGGTGGGTGAGTGGGTGGGTGAGTGGGTGGGTGAGTGGGTGGGTGAGTGGGTGGGTGGGTGAGTGGGTGGGTGAGGGGGTGTGTGGGTGGGTGGGTGAGTGGGTGGGTGAGTGGGTGGGTGGGTGGGTGAGTGGGTGGGTGGATGAGTGGGTGGGTTGGTGAGTGGGTGGGTGAGTGAGTGGGTGGGTGAGTGAGTGGGTGAGTGGGTGAGTGGGTGGATGAGTGAGTGAGTGGGTGGGTGGGTGGGTGAGTGGGTGAGTGGGTGGGTTGGTGAGTGGGTGGGTGGGGGTGGTTGGTGAGTGGGTGGGTGGGTGGGTGAGTGGGTGGGCGGGTGGGTGGGAGAGTGAGTGGGTGAGTGGGGTGGGTGGTGATGCTACTACTACTGATGACGATGCTATTGCTGCTGCTGCTACTGAATGTCCAGAAATGGTTGAGTTCTGTCAGCTTCCACTTCCATGCTGAACTGGATGGATGGGTTTTGCGAGTTGAGATGATTTAGAAACGCGCTCAGTCTATCTTTGCCGTGTGGCCAGACCACCAACGTGTCATCCACGTAACCCGGCACACTGAGACCATCTGCTTGCTCCTGCCAGGAGCGCTTTGTGGGATGTCGCTACCGCCACGCGCTGCCTCAGCCTGCAGGCGCTGCTGAGTACTGCGTCCGCGTGAGAGTCGCGGCTCGCTACCCGCGGTGGAAGACAGGGGAGTGGTCTCCACTGTCGTGTGTCTCCGTCCCTCCACCACACAGCGCCGTGGGTGAGTGGGTGGGTGGGTGAGTGGGTGGGTGGGTGAGTGGGTGAGTGAGTGGGATGGTGAGTGAGTGGGTGGGTGGGTGAGTGAGTGGGTGGTGAGTTAGTTGGTGGGTGAGAGAGTGGGTGAATGAGTGGGTGAGTGAGTGAGTGGGTTGGTGGGTGAGTGAGTTGGTGGGTGGGTGGGTGAATGAGTGAGTGAGTGGGTGGGTGAGTGGGTGGGTGAGTAGGTGGGTGGGTGGGTGGGTGAGTGAGTGAGTGAGTGGGTGGGTGAGTGGGTGAGTGGGTGGGTGGGTGAGTGAGTGAGTGGGTGAGTGAGTGGGTGGGTGAGCGAGTGATTTGGTAAGTAGTTGAGTGAGTGGGTGGGTTAGTGGGTGGGTGAGTAGTTGACTGAGTGGGTGGTTGAGTGAGTGGGTGCGTGAGTGAGTGGGTGGGTGAGTAGGTGGGTGGGTGAGTGAGTGGGTGGGTGGGTGAGTGGGTGGGTGAGTGGGTGGGTGAGCGAGTGATTTGGTAAGTAGTTGAGTGAGTGGGTGGTTTAGTGGGTGGGTGAGTAGTTGACTGAGTGGGTGGTTGAGTGAGTTGGTGCGTGAGTGATTGAGTGGGTGAGTGGGTGGGTGGGTGAGTGAGTGGGTGGGTGAGTGGGTGGGTGGGTGAGTGGGTGGGTGAGCGAGTGATTTGGTAAGTAGTTGAGTGATTGAGTGGGTGAGTGGGTGGGTGAGTGGCGCACCCATTTAGCCCTCTCTATCCGGCTGAACAAAAGCTGTTCAGACATGCGGTGGCTGGGCATGCAGGCTACATGGCCCAGCCAACGCAGCCTTGCCTGCCGGAGGAGCTCACCAATGGGACTTTGCCCAGATCTTTCTGGGATTTGTGAGCTCCTCACACAATCCAGCCTGCAGGTTAAACCCAGGATGGATCGTAGACAGGCCAGCCTAAATGTTTCTAACCGGCGAATATGTTCCATTAGGGGGGTCCACTTTTCGCATGCGTAGAGAAGGGAGGGAATGACCGTGGCCGAGAAGACCTGAAGATTCGTGCGGAGTGACAAACCAGGTAGCTTCCACACAGTATTATGTAACCGATGAAAAGGTAATGCCGCTCGACTGATTCGGAGTGAGACCTCAGCCAGTCATGAGCACACTGCCCAGGTATGGGAAACTTTCCACTCTCTCCACAACTCCTCAATCACCAATTGGGAGTTGTGGGGGTGGAGTGTCCAATGGTACAAAATACCCAGGCAGGTGCTTAGTTTTGGTGGGGCTGATGGTAAGGCCCCACCTCTTAGTGGCACGCTCCAGTCTCAGCAGCAGCGTCTCCAACTCCTCTTCTGAATGAGCAGCTATTACCAAATCATCAGCATACGCAACATGGTTGAGCGATAGGGAG